ATCTGAATTGACACTGTCAACTCAGTCCATTTGCATGCTGATCATCATATATATAATTTTTTTAATTTATAAAAAGAAAGGAAAATTTAGTTTTTATTCCTAGCTTTTCAGTCCCAAACTGATAACCATAGATCAGACAAGGAAGGCCTTCCACATTAAGCCTTCAAGGAATGACGTGCCATGAGTCCACCTAGGTTTAAATGTTATCAGTTTTACAGTATACTAACACATATATATGGAATTTAGAAAGATGGTAATGATAACCCTATATGCAAAACAGAAAAAGAGACTCAGATGTATAGAACAGACTTGTGGACTCTGGGAGAAGGCGAGGGTGGGATGTTTCAAGAGAACAGCATCGAAACATGTATATTATCTAGGGTGAAACAGATCACCAGCCCAGGTTGGGTGCATGAGACAAGTGTTCGGGCCTGGTGCACTGGGAAGACCCAGAGGGATCGGGTGGAGAGGGAGATGGGAGGGGGGACCGGGATGGGGAATACATGTAAATCCATGGCTAATTCATTTCAATGTATGACAAAAACCACTGCATTGATGTAAAGTAATTAGCCTCCAACTAATAAAAATAAATGGAAAAAACAAACAAACAAACAAAAATGTAAAGCAGTTCCCAAAATTCAAAAATAACATGACTCAGAAGTGAGTCTAGAAATAAATAGGTTCTTCTCAGAAAACTATAGAACATTCACCCACTTAGAAGCAGCCTCACCAAAAACAACTAGGAACAAAGGAAGCGAAGGCTCAGACATAAGAAAGAAAAGTAACTTATAATATTTTGAAAATCAATGTGTACATAGGTTTAAAAAACAGTTCAAAGAAATCTATTTTGTTAAGACTCCTTAGAATAGTCTAATGCCTTTGAGTAACTAAGTTTACTTCTAGGTTCTAACTCAAACTTAAATTTTTTTTTCTTTTATTAATTTTTTATTAAAGTATAGTTGGTTTACATTGTGTTAGCTTCAAGTGTGCAGCAAAGTGATTCATATACACACACGTGTCTGTATCTATATATGTATAAATATACATATTCATTTTCATATTCTTTTCCCTTATAGGTTATTACAAAATGCTGAGTAAACTTCCCTGTGCTGTAAGAGTAGCTCCTTGATGGTCATCCATTTTTATTAATAGTAGTGAATATCTGTTAATCCCAAACTCCTAATGTATCCCTCTCCCTCTTTCCCCTTTGGTAATCACAAGTTTATGATCATTTATTTTTAAACTTTTTAATAATTATGCTATGTCACATTGACTGACACACCAACAGCCTGGAGTTACCTATTTCAAAAGAGAAAGCAATCTAGTTCTCTCTAGTAGGGTTACGAATATCTTACGTATCCAGCTATTCATTTATTTTAAAGATTACCCATCTTAGGTTTACATGCAAGAAGATACAGTCACAACAAAGACCTATGCATTATCTCAGGGGGGATGTTTATTACCTGCTGTGATGTCCCTGGCTGGATGTCCCGGCTGGGAGAGACTCAGCTTGAGTCTTCTTACATCTTACTGATGTAAGAACTCATGGCATGTCATTCCTTGAAGGCTTAATGTGGAAGGCCTGCCTTGTCTGATCTATGGTTATCAGTTTGGGACTGAAAAGCTAGGAATAAAGGATGAGAGCTCCTGACCTACGCTGAAGCTGACTGGCCAGCAGCAGTCCTGCTCTGTTCCATGTTCGAAATTGGAAGATCACAGACACTTTGTCCTCTCCGGAAGCACCCGGCAGCACCAAGTGACTCTTGGAGCTCAGAAAAGTCATGGGAACAGTCTGCATGTGTGAGCAGGAGAAGGACTCGTTTCCCTGTTAACACAGTGAAACAGGCTTTAGGAAAGCACAGTCGGAATGCTTCCCTTTCACAGACAACAGATTTTCCAAGACTTACTGAATTTCTTATAAACAATTCAGCAATCTAGGATTTTTAAAATGAGGCTTCTCCATCAAACTTAAATCCAGATTTACGTTGTAGGTCCTTTGAAGCACTGTTAAAGGACTTCCCTAGTAGCCCAGTAGTTAAGAGTCTGCCTGTCAATGCAGGAGACATGGGTTCGACTCTTGGTCCAGGAACTAAGATCCCACATCCCATGGGGCAACTAAGCCAATTGCAATCTGTGGGCCCTAGGGCCCACGCTCTGCAACAAGAGACATCACCAAAATGAGAAGCCCATGCAATGCAATTAGAGAGTTGCCCCTACTCACTGCAACTAGAGAAAGCCCATGCATGCACAGCAATGAAAAGGCAATGAAGACCCAGTGCAGCCAAAAATAACTAAATATAAAAATGAAAAGACAAAGTGCTGTTCAGTTGGGCAAACCTATTTCTGAGTTTCTGAGGAACTGTCCATCTCCATTACCAAGCATTTGCAAAGGAATCCTGAGCCACATTTTCCCAGACTTAATGCTGGGTGTGCAAGTTACAGTCTTTCCAGTAGTCACATACCAATGTGAGAGCTGGACCATAAGGAAAGTTGAACACCAAAGAATTGATGCTTTTGAATAGGGCTTGAGAAGACTAAAAAGTCCCTTGGACAGCAAGGAGATCAAACCAGTCAATCCTAAGGAAATCAACCCTGAATATTCATTGGAAGGACTGATGATGAAACGCCTATACTTTGGCCCCCTGATGTGAAGAGCCGACTCACTGGAAAAGACCCTGATGCTGAGGGCAGGAGGAGGAATGGGCGACAGAGGGTGGGAGATGGCTGGATGGCACTATAGACTCAATGGACATGAATCTGAGCAGACTGTGGGAGACAGTGAAGGACAGGGAGGCCTGGCATGCTGCAGTCCGCGGGGTCGTGAAGAGGCTCAGCTGAGTGACTGAACAGTGGCGGCGTGCCAGGCATGGGACACAGCATAAGGGACAGGTGCAAGCTAGCACCAAGGGTCACTGACTCCAGGAGCTTTCTTGTGCTTGTCTTGACTATGTAAACGTGATTGGAAGTGTGTCCCTCAGGCGATAGCTACATCTGACTATAGGCAGGGCATGTGCTTTGCATGTCTGAATATAAGAATGTGGCCAGGTTGGTCCTGCCATAGGTAGGCTGGTCTCTTCTCTGAACTTCTTACAAACCAAATCACCCAAGGCTATCACCCAGCCTGAGATCTGATCTGTCTAGCAGGCTGTTTTTATTTGTATATAATTCTGATTTTAAAGATATTTTTAATCCTTACAATATGTCTACTGCTCCAGGAACAAACTACTTTTAATCATAGTGCTTGGACAGGACGGGCTCAATATAATTCCAATTAAACCCTCTATAAGAATTTTGTCTGAAGATAAAAACTTTTCTATAGATTTCAGATAGCAGAATACATACTCAAACATTACTCTTCCTCTCCAAAAAATAATAATGCAAATAAAAAACCAGTGAGACAGAATTTACCAGATAGCAAAGCATACTGTGAAGTTATGTAAGCAAATCAGTGTGTTATTGGTGTAGGAACAGACATAGCAGTGGGACGGAACAAGGGACTCACAAAAAGATCTGAGAGTACATGTTATATGTGAATATATAATATTAACATAATACATGTAATATATACAAAATATATATTATAACATATAATACAAATGATATATTAATAACAAAGGGTTATCTATCAACTATAAAACTGTCTTGTAAATTGACCAAAAATTAAAGAAATAAAATAAAAATTAGGCAAAAGAATAAGAGTGAACAATGATCAGAAAAACAAGTCCAAATGGACCAAAAAAAGGTGAGAAGATTATTTAATTCACCAGTAGTCCCATAAACACAAAGTAACAAAGAGATATTAGTTCATGTTCCTTGAGCTGGCAGGGGTACATGAGGACTGGCCGAGATGTGATCGAAGGTTCTAACATACATTGCTGGTGGAAAATGTCATGCTATAGCTTTTTGGAAAGCAATCCAACAACATTTATTAAAATGTAAAACTATATAAAACTTGTGACCAAGAAATTCTACTTCTGGAATTTTATCTCATGAAAAGGGAAGGCCCTGTACTGAGCATACATGTGCAACTGTCAGCTTATAGTGGTAAAAAAAAAATCTAGATAAAGCAAATGCCCTGAGTAGGAAATGACTAGATAAACAATGGTACGTTTTCCTAATGGATAGTGATGTAAACATTCTAATGTAGAACTATTTCTGATAATGGAGAAGAATTCCTACAAGGTATTGTTGAATCAAAAAATCTAGATGGAGAAAAACTTTTATAACATGATTTTTTGTAAACAATGTCAAATGTGGAAGCATACAGATTCATAAATACATGTGTGAGTATGAGTTTATCTATCTATAGAGGATTCCATTACTATGGACCAAACAAGGAAGAACAAATGTTAGCTTAGTAACATCCCAGCTTGACAGAGGGACTGTAGCCATGTGGAGAATATGGAGAAAGAAGGAAGAAACCTATCGAAAAGAAAACCACTGCATTAAAATGCCTTAATACGATTGTACTTTAACATTTTTGTGAAACTATTCATCCATTTCCACAAACACAGAAAAAAGAAACCACACATAAACTAAAAAAGTGCAGTAGGCTTTCTTTATGCCCAGGTTCTGCATCCTCATATACAACAAACCAACCAGGAAAATACTGAGAAAGAAAAATTTCAGAAAGTTCCAAAAAGCAAAACTTGAACTTGACCGGCACCAGCAACTACTCACATAACAATTGCATTGTGTTTACAACTATTTACATATCATTTACATCGTGTTAGGTACTATATATAATCTAGAGTTGATCTAAAGTACATGGGAGGATATGACTAGGTTATATGCAAATACTGTGCCATTTTATACAAGGGAGTTGAGCATCCTTGGATTGCTCCAACTCAGGGGTCCTGGAACCAATTCCCCAAGGATATCTAGGGATAACTATACACATGATTTGTACCTTCCCTGCCTTCAGAAGAGGTATATTTTAAAGCTGAATCAATCAAACTGCAGTTCCCTTTTCTCTTGAACTTGCGTATAGACTTTCTTACCATGATGAGGACCTGTGGCTTGTGTTTCTTGGACAAATCAATGATATTCACTCCATTATAATAGAGATTTTCAAAGCAGCCATGAAAGTTTTTATGTGGGAATGCCACTGATTTTCCATGTCCAGGAATCCCTCTGAAGCTGATCTTAGAAAGAAAAAAATGACATAAGTAACATTGTTTGATGATTTCCTGATTATCTGCCTAAACATGTATGATTAGCAGGCAAAGTGGTAATTGTCTCAAATCTCCTTGGCATTATTTTATATTATCATGCTAATTTCAAAGGAGGTTTTATATGTATTTACCAATGCTTTATTTATTACACTGAGATAAATATATTAAATGTCCTTCTTACAATTTGCTGCTATTCATATAGTTCTGTCATTTTTGTTGATGGGGAATATTGATCTTTATGCCCACAGTAGATCTCGATTTGTGTGACAAGGCAGCCTACTATGAGGATATTCTACTTTATAAACTAGACTATGGGATCCTGCTCTTTGCCACGACTCTGATAGATCAGAATTACAAAGCCACTAATAATATCATTTAAGACCAGAATCGCCAACTGGTTCCTGCTCCTGAGGCCACTCATACCAAGTGAATGTTGAAACCTGGTTTGCTGACAGATGTGCTCAGCAGAACTGGCAGAACAAACAATGCATTTCAGTGTATGTTAGACACACATGGGCAACATGCTGCAAATACTGCCAGGTGTTTAAAAACCCCCAGAAACAGTATTCTGAGATGTGTGCACCTGGCCTTCTTGTTACTTAAAAAATTCAGATTGGAATATATGTGGATTACTTCTCTAAATTATCCTAGGTAGCTAATTCTGTTTAGGATTGCCCTAAAACAAAGAAATCTCGAAGGTAATATTTGCAGCCAAACACCAGATGAAATACAGAGGAACTGTTTGAACAAATGCATTTAAAAATATTCTTTGTTGAACTGGTAGCTCTTCATGTATGGATTTCCTAAATTTAACAACTATTTACTCTTATGTGAAGACTAACATCTGTAAGAAATAAAATGTCTCAATAGCTCGAGCATGTATCTTCCAGTGTGAAGTTACCACACGTAAGAAATATTTTATCAGAATTCTGAATTAGTAGGAAAGGGAATTTTTCAATGTAGTAGTATTTTCTATAGAAGATTATGCTGCAATCAAATGATAAAATCTGTAATACTTAAAAAGTCATTTCACACCTTATAATTGAGATCCACATACTTGGACTCTCCTTTCGCCTGAAAATGATTAGTGTGCGTGTCCACAGTGAAGTTGACATCTGTATTGAGGAGCTCAATGAGAACAGAATGCCAGTGCTCATCATCCAGCAAACTGCCCAGCATGAGAGCATTGGGCAAGGGCGAGCTAGCATGACCTGAAAAGGAAGAAGTGTAAATGCGCTGTTCCGTCTAGCTCAATACCATGATCAATGTTTTCAGGTTTAGCATTTCTCACATCAGTTACACTTTCCTTACATTTTTTATCCCAAGAACTGGCGAGCTGCTTTTACCTTAATCTTAAATACAATCTTCTTTGATATTGAGTAACATCTTCTATCTAACTTGTTTTATTATTATGTACTGAATTTTCATTTTTCTTGAAAATATTTTCTTCCTAGGTCTTCATTCACAGGACTACTTCAAAAGTTTATGATAAGCCACCCTTGTCATCACAATATTATCAGGTTATTTATTGAGCATCTGCTAATGATCTTACACGATTATCAAGAAATAGCACTTTTTACATAAAAGCACACTGAGGATCACACATGTTGCTCTTAGTAGAGCTCGACTGTAGGCGACCAAGTGTCCATTTGCCGGGACAGCTCTGGTCTTCAGGATAATCATTTATAGGGTCTGCTTTCTTTCACAAAAGTGTTCTTTTTTGTTTATGCTTGTTTTGTTTTTTAAAGAAAGGCAGACTGCCACATGGAATGCCTCATTTGGATGTGTCTGGAGTCTTGGAAGCTTGACGACCCTACGTTCTCCTGCAAATGGACCTTGAGAGCTTGTTTTGAGGTTCTAGCAAAGAAGCAAAGCTATGCATATACCCTTGACCAAAGAACGGCCCTCCTCTAGAGGAGAAGGTGGTCCTCCTCAACCAAGAGCACAGCTTTGGGAGGAACACACGTGGAACTGTGAGGGAGGGAGGGAACACCTTTCTAGCCAAGCCAGATCACCGCACATCCAAAAGTACTCTGGTTTTAAATTAACTACTTAACTGTGAAGAAAAATTCATCATAAAAGATACTTTCATCTAAATAGTATTTCACGAAACACTTTTTTTTTTTTACCTAAATTAAGGAATAAGATGAGTTTTCCTTTAACTAACTCCAGGGTGATGTGTTTGTCATCTGGTCCTTCTCTGTGGAGTAGAATCCCGTTGTTCTCTCTGGTTTTAAATTTCAGAGAAATAACCTCTTTGACTGGATTTATGGATTTATGATTAAATGTGTACAGCAAAGAATTCTTCCCATCAAAATGAACCATCTCAGATCCTACAAAGGAAGACATTAAAATGTGGTCTAATTATAATATAGTCTTATCAGTGCATTGAAAAGTGTAAGTCAACACACACATATACATCCATAGCATACCTCTGGCTTGTTTAACGTATCGAACGTTTTTGGCATATCTCAACTCCACTGTTTGCCTTTTCTCACATTTTCCCCAAAATGTATCATCTAGAAATGTTGATTAATTTCAATTTCTCCTATCTTTTACTGGCCTATTTCCATCCTGTAAATAACAAAGATTAGGAAAAAAGTTAAAGTCAATTTCCCCTGAATAAGATCTCCCTGTACATTTAATAATCATTCAACATTTCTGTTTTTCTGAAAAGCTATACTAGTTCTCACAGACTGGTAAGAAACTAAATGTCAGTGTCACTCAATGTAAATGGCTTAATTATTTCTGAACCAGGAACTCTGACTTTCAACAATTCTCACATAAGCACTCACTTTAATATATTTTTGTCTGGTCATAAAAGACACAAATAAAGACATCAGATATACTAAATACTACTGCAGACCATATTAAAAGGTTCTCAGTAAACAGGCATATATTTTTATTACAACATTTTGGTCCAGGGACAGCACAAAAGGGCACGCCTATTTTGTGTTGTATCTTAAGCACACTAAAAAGATTGTTCTGCTACAGCCAGGCACTGCTACACTGTTGCCATGTACTGTGTCTAACCTGTACATGGACCTGCGTTTCATTCAGGTAAACTATTTCCAGTGCTTCCCTTGTGGCTCACCTGGAAAAGAATCTGCCTTCATTGCAGGAAACCTGGGTTTGTTCCCTGGATTGGGAAGATACCCTGGAGAAGAGAGAGGCTACCCACTCCAGTATTCTGGCCTGGAAAACTCCTGTTGTGTAAAGCACATGGGGTTGTGCAAAGAATCCAACATGAATGAGCAACTTTCATTTCTTTCAATCTTTGGGCTTTCCTGGTGGCTCAGACAGTAAAGCATTTGCCTGCAATGAGGGAGACCCGGGTTCGATCCCTCGGTCAGGAAGATCCCCTGGAGAAGGAAACGGCAACCTACTCTAGTACTCTTGCCTGAAAAATTCCATGGATGGAGGACCCTGGTGGGCTACAGTCCATGGGGTCGCAAAGAGTCAGACACGACTGAGCAACTTCACTTCACTTTAACTATTTCCAGAAAACCCTTGATATTCACAACTTAAAAAGAATAGTCCATTTTAAGCAGGTACCTTTTGAAAATGTGGAAGTTTGATTCACATCAGTCAGTTCAGTTCAGTCCCTCAGTGGACGGAACTGAACCAACTTATTGTAACCCCATGGAGTGCAGCAGGCCAGGCTTCCCTGTCCATCACCAACACCCGGAGCTTACTCAAAACTCATGTCCATCAAGTCGGGGATGCCATCCAACTATCTCACCCTCTGTCATCCCCTTCTCCTCCCACCTCCAATCCTTCCCAGCACAAGGGTCTTTTCAGATGAGTCAGTTCTTCCTATCAGGTGGCCAAAGTATTGGAGTTTCAGCTTTAGCATCAGTCCTTCCAATGAATATTCAGGACTGATTTCATTTAGGATGGACTGGTTGGATCTCCTTGTAGTCCAAGACACTCTTAAGAGTCTTTTCCAACACAATTCAAAGCATCAATTCTTTGGCGCTCAGCTTTCTTTATACTCCAACTCTCACATCCATACATGACTACTGGACAAAACAAAGCCTTGACTAGACAGACCTTTGTTGGCCAAGTAACGTCTCTGTTATTTAATAGGATATATAGGCTGGTCACAGCTTTTCTTCCAAGGAGCAAGTGTCTTTTAATTTCATGGCTGCAGTCACCATCTGCAGTGATTTTGGAGCCCAAAATAATAAAGTCTTTCACCGTTTCTATTGTTTCCCCAACTATTTGCCATGAAGTGATGGGACAAGATGCTGTGATCTTAGTTTTCTGAATGTTGAGTTTTACGCCAACTTTTTCACTCTCCTCTTGCACTTTCATCAAGAGGCTCTTCAGTTCTTCCTCACTTTCCGCCATAAGGGTGTTGTCATCTGCATATCTGAGGTTATTGATATTTCTCCCGGCAATCTTGATTCCAGCTTGTGCTTCTTCCAGCCCAGCGTTTCTCATGATGTACTCTGCATATAAGTTAAATAAGCAGGGTGACAATATACAACCTTGATGTTCTCCTATCCCAATTGGGAACCAGACTGTTGTTCCAAGTCCAGTTCTAATTGTTGCTTTCTAACCTGCATGCAGATTTCTCAGGAGGCAGGCCAGGTGGTCTGGTATTCCCATCTCTTTAAGAATTTTCCAGTTTGTTGTGATCCATGCAGACAAAGGTGTTGGTGTAGTAAATAAAGCAGAAGTAGCTGTTTTTCTGGAACTCTCTTGCTTTTTCAATGATCCAATGGACGTTGGCAATTTGATCTCTGGTTCCTCTGCCTTTTCTAAATCCAGCTTGAACATCTGGAATTTCACGGTTCACGTACTGTTGAAGCCTGGCTTGGAGAATTTTGAGCATTATTTTGCTAGTGCATGAGATGAGTGCAATTGTGAGGTAGTTTGAACATTCTTTGGCATTGCCTTTCTTTGGGATTGGAATGAAAACTGACCTTTCCCAGTCCTGTGGCCACTGCTGAGTTTTCCAAATTTGCTGGCCTATTGAGTACAGCACTTTCACAGCATCATCTTTTATGATGTGAAATAGCTCAACTGGAATTCCATCACCTCCACTAGCTTTGTTCGTAGAGATGCTTCCTAAGACCCACTTGACTTCACATCCTAGGATGTCTGGTTATAGGTGAGTGATCACACCATTGTGGTTATCTGGGTCACGAAGATCTTTTTTGTACAGTTCTTCTGTGTGTTCTTACCACCTCTTCTCTTTGATTCACATACAAAATGTAAAATATATAAACACTGAACTCTGTCTCTAAGCCATATAATCAAACAATTATTCTTTGTTACATAATTAAATAAACATGATTAATGAAAACATAATTATGTTAAATTCAAATGTGTCCCTTAGAGTATTAGACAATAATAAACTAATGAAAACTTGTTAGCAAAAAATTTAAATGTTTTCACATTTTTGCAGTATGGTTTATGTATCACTAAAAGGCAATGCTAATAATTAAGGCTTATTTTTGCAGTCAGCTAATAAATTTTTTTCTGTAAGTGATTTTCCCAGGGTTATTTTGATTGAATTATTTTTTCCTCATCTTCCCTCTTGCTGTATTGCTTTGTAATAGTAATACTCATCTTCTAGGGCTCAGAATCTCTTGGAGGGTTTATTAAACACAGACTGATAGGTTCCATCTCAGGGTTTCTGACTGACCAGGTGTGTGTGTGGGGGGGTGGGGGGAGCAGCCCTGAGTATCTGGGTTTCTAAAAAGTCCCCTGTGATGTTGACGTGGCTGATCTGTGCCTATATTTTGAGAATCACTGCTCTAAAGCACCTAAATTATATTTCTCGGAATATTCTCCTCAGGTAAAATGGAGTCATGAAAAATGTATTATGTAATAGAAATACGAAAACATGGCTTTAAAAAATTTCTTTTTCTTAATGTTTTGACTCTATTTCTAATGTAATCACTAATACTAGTTTCTAGAACAATTAACCATATGTGAGTCATCAAATTATATTTTATGAGGCATATTCAACATGTATTTTGACAGATTTTTTTAAGCCTAAAGTGACTAGATTATAATACAGATATGTAACCACTTAAAAATCATGTATCTTGTAACAGTTTAACTAAAACTTTAAATGATAATAACTTGAGCTCAATTGAAGAGGTTACTAAAGAGATAAAATTCAAAATTTGCTTTTAGAAATCGACTTTTAAGCTTCCCTTCAT